TTTTGGCTAGTTTAAGTGTTTTAATTTTCCATATAAATTTTTGAATTCTCACAGAAATTATAGATGCTGATTCTAACACCAGAAAAATCAGTCACACTGACCTCGAGACAAAGGAAGATGTCCATGAACTAAGTAAAAGGATGACAAATGAAGATCACAGCAATAGATTCTGTGGAATTAGTCTGGGAGAGATTATACAAATGTCGTTAAAGTCTCAAAGGGATGTTAGTTATAATTTAGTCACTGCACATATGCAAACACTTAAGACTCCTGGCTGGTTTTCACAGGGTCAGCACCTCCGCTTCTCCTCCTGTCCATCCTCATTCCACGGAGCTCCTTCCGGCCCTCTTGATGCTCATTCTCTTTGCAGCCCCAGGAGTTCCTATGGTGTCTCCAGGGTTGACTTAGCCCTCACCTTACCATGAGGTAGAATAGAAAAGACAGACTTTTAAGAGATAGATGTAAAAACACAGTAGAAAGCATGTTGCTCCTGTTCAGATCCATAGGTAAAACCTTTATTTTTCCAATTAAAAACTCTCCCACCTAATCAGTCATACTAGTTCCATACTAGTTCATTCAATAAACATTTCTGAGCACCTACTTCATGCTGGGCACTGTTCCAGGCACGTGAACTCTATCAGTGGACAAAACTGACAAAATACCTTTCCTTCTGGAGCTCAGATTCTAGCGGGGGAAACAGAACATAAATGATGAATCCATGGTATAAGTAGACTTTGAAGGCAATGAGTGCCCTAGAAAAAGACTAGAGCAGGGCAAGGAGATAAGGAATGGGGGAGGGGGTGCTCAGTTTAAAATTGATTCATCAGATACTCGAGCAAATACTTGAGCACCAATGTCCATAGCAGCACTATTCACAGAAGTCAGAAGTCAAAAGTCAAAAGTCAAAGTCAAGAGTCAAAAGTCAAATGTCAACTAATGGACGAATGGATAAACAAATTGTGCTGTATTCATACAATGGAATATTACTCAGCCAGTAAAAGGAATGAAGTACTGATACATGATTCAACATGGATGAACCTTGAAAACACTATGCTAAATGAAAGAAGCCAGACACAAAAGGCACTTATTGTATGATTCTATTTATACGAAATTTTCAGGCTAGGCAAATTTGTAGAGACAGAAAGCAGATTGATTGTTGTTAGGGGCTAGACGGAATAAAGAAAGGGAGAATGACTACTAATGGGTATGGGGTTTTATTTGGTGTGGTGAAAACCTTTTGAAACTAGATAATGCTGGTGCTTACATAGCATTGTGAATGTACTAAATGCCACTGAACTGTCACTTTAAAATGCTTCATTTTATGTTATGTGAATTTCACCTCAATAAAAAATATAATCAGAAGCAAAAAAAAAAATAAGAAAAGAAAATTAGCAGTAAGGCTAAGTCTCGTTGAGAAGGTACAATTGGAGCACTGACTTTGAGGAGGTGAGAGAGTTCGCCTTGTGAGTAACTGGGAGAAGCCACCCAGACAGAAGGAAGAGCAAGTGCAGAGTAGGAACTGATGCGTTCAAGGAAGGGTGAGGAGGACACAGGCTGGAGACAAAGTCAGGGAGGTGATGGGCGGCCTCAGACTATGTGGGCCTCATAGCTGCGGTAAGGCGGTTGACTTCTCCTCTGCGTAACGCGGGAAGATGTGGGAGGGCTTGATGACTTAACTTAGATTTTAACAGGATCTCTAGAGCCTCTTTGTTAGGAACAGTCTGAAGAGGGGCAAGGCTGGAAGCAGGGAGACAGTTAGAAGCTATTCTTAAAAGTGAGAGATGATAGTGCCTCAGACAAGAAAGGTAGAAGTGGAGGTCGGGGGAAGTTCCTGCAGGTAGGATGTACTTTGACGGTGAAACCAGGAGGATGTCCGGATGGCTTGCATGTCAGATATGGGAAGAAGAGAAGAGCCAATCATATACAGAGAGTTTTGGCGTGAGCAACTGAAAGGATGGAGTTGCCATCACTGAGCCAAGGAAGACTGTGGGAGAAGCGGCTTTCCTCAGGGGCGATGGAGAGCAGGAGGGTGGAGGACATCAGGGGTTCAGTTGTGGAGGTGTAAAGGTGTTGTTAATTCCACTTTGTCTTTGAATATGTACCAGTTTCTTGGAATTTTTGAAGAAGAGAATTGGGTGAGACCAAAAGGAGGAGGGAGGGAAGCAGCTGAGACTTGAGTGTCGCTAGAGTTAGGAGTGTGGCAAAAAAGAATCAGAAAGATAAGTGCTTTGATCAAGGTGACACAGTGGCCGGAGCTGGGCGCAGAGCCATCTCCTGAGGCTCAGGCCAGGGCACCTAATGCCCTTGGCTAACTCCCCCTTTGCCTGCTCTTGTGAAGATTACTGGGTGACAATCTGACCACTGAAATTCATAAAAGTTTAACACAACAAAAATGTCCTGGCTTTTGACGTGGTTTACAGTAAGAAGAGGCCACAGATGGCTGGTTCTGGAGTAGAAGATATTCATATCCTGGTCGAGCCGTGACACCAGCCAGGACAGATGAATAAGCCTTGCACGATAGCTTCTAAGTTACAAAATATTTGGGTTCCACGTTCCAGATACTAGCAGTTGGCTGTAACTCTGGAAATAGAGGTTTTGTTTCTTTGTTTGTTTTAGATTTTTTAGTGGAAATGTCAGAGAATTAGATTATAAATAGGGACATGCAAGATTCCAAAACTGTAACCCAAAAAGTCAGAAAAAATTAAGGTCAAATTAGGTTAGATTAATTTTGAAAATAATGAGTAGTTCTGAGAAGTCTTTGAAAGAAGATATCTGCCAGAGAAACAAGCGGACACTGGAAGGTTTCTGATGAACTTGGCAGAAATTCATGGCTGCTCAAAATCTCTGTTTTATTTATATTAGAAGCCCTTGCTTTTCACATTTTCTCTTGTTGCTGCTATAAACTGCTATACTTTCGTGTCAGATGGTGTCATAGTAGTTAGAAGCCCAATGGTTTAGTTCTTTATAAAGAAGAGGCTTAAGGGAAATGACTTTGTTTAGTAAGCCAGTCACAATTTTAAGAAGGAAAGCTTTACCACTAATCTCTCTCTTTTTGAGTTGATATTAGGGGAGAAAAGCCTTGGCTTTGAGGTTCAATAAATCTGGTTTCCACCCCAGCCACAACTGGGTGAGCTTGGCCAAATTGTTTAACCAGTCTCATCCTTGGGTTTTTATTTTCATCTGCAAAATTGTGAATGATGTTGATGATAAGTACCACACAGTATAATACTTTGAATGAAAGGACTTAGTTGAATGGACGACTGAATCCTTTTATAATAATAGTTAGACTTTACTAAATACTTCTGCAAGATTTCATGATGATTATGTTAAAATTCTAATTGAAATCTTGTTTTTAATTAAGCTACCTTATTTAAAACTAAGAAACCAATGTGAACGTGGCCTAGCCTAATGAATAAATGCCTAAATTTAATAAAATTTTTTAAGACATGTTTTAGGATAAAAATATAAGTTCATATTCAAGTATAAAAACATTCAAGTTTATATTATTTTATTTAACAAAATGTTATCTAAAGCTTACACGCCCTGGGCACTGTTCCAAGCTGGCCTACTCCTGATTCTGTGATCTCAGTGCTGAAACTCATGTGATCTTGATAACAAGAACTGTGACAACTAAGTCAAGAGTCACAAGGGGCAGACCTAATTCTTTGAATTTACCCCAAACATCTCACAGTGAATCTCCCCGTGGTGACAGGACTCATATCTCTTCCTCTCTGAGCACGTGACTGACGTCCAAAATCTAAACCCCGTGCAGATGGCGAGGCCTGCTCCCGAGCATTGCCCGCCATGGGGGGTGGGAGATACTCTAGTAAACTCCAAAAACCTGCTAGAACTCTTCCTCTGTGGTGCCTCCTCTCTTCACCTTTCTCACTGGCAGCAGTGTAACTTAGTGATCAGGCATCTAGCCTTTGGAGCCAGCCTGCTTGGGTTCAAATTCTGGCTCTGTCTCACAGTGGCATGTGACTCAGACAAGTTGCTTATCCCCTCTGAGCCTCAGTGTCGTTATCTATAAAATGGGGATAATAATAAGAACACCTACCTCATTGGGCGGTTCTGAGAATGAAGGAGTTAATACACGTAAGTCACCTGAAACTGTATCCGGCACAGAGTAATTTCTAGAGAAGGCTTAGCTGTTACTATATTATTCCGCTGGTCTGGAATTAGTCCCTGAATCCTTCTGGGATTGGTGAGCTTTAAAAGTAGGTTGAATTTACTCATAAGAGATTCATACCGACTATGCATAGCTAAAACCAAATTTGGCAATTAACACTTTTTTTATGTGGAGCCCAAGAGTTGAGGGGAATGGTTTTCTCTGTCGCTCCCCTTGAGGTACCCTTCTGACTCACAGCCTCCGTCTATTTCTCTGAACTCCTTAGAAAAACTTCCTTTTCCATCCAAAATGAGAGCCCTACAGGGATTTAGATGGAAGGAGCTGGAATCTGCTATGGATGAGATGATGTCACATTTTGGACCATCAACAGAACATTTGCAAGTCCCCATTAAGTTCTGCTTACCTCTCATTGCTTGTCCCCCCTCTTTGCTTTTGAAACTCTCTGAACCAAAGCTGCCAAAATTGGCTGAGTCCTCCTAACTAGTGTCTGCCAAATGAAGCACCAAGGTCTATCTGGAAGCACAGACTCAAGGCCCTGAGATTCCAAGATCATTTGGAATCCGAAGTGTAAGAAAAGCAGGGCAACAAACAAAAAGCATTATTCAGTTTGGGAAACTGATGCTCAAACAGGCGGAGGTGACTTGCTTACTTCCTCTAAAGGGATTATTCAGTGTTGTCCTTGTGTTTAAATATTTATGTACCAAAGTCAAGAATTCTTGGTACATGATGCACCAGCATTTTTGAACAAATCGTGAATTTTAGCTAGGAGTCAAATTTCAGGGTGGGTGGAGTGGTGAACTGTAGGATGTCTTTGAGTGTCTCCCCATTAAAATAAAAGAGAGCCTGCATGTGTGGAGTCTGCAAGGAGGGAGCCGCGAGACCTGGAAATTCTTCTTAGCTCAGTCATTGACTTGGAGTTAATTCCCTTCTGTCCTCCAGTCTGGGTAAGCATCAATCACTTATCTAGTTTGTAGTAAAAACCTTTTCATACATATAAAAGGAAAAGAATCAAAAATTCATGCTTAGAGGAAACAGGCTTTCTTGACATATTTAAGGGTGGTTGTGTTGATTCTTCTATTTGTAAATTTCTATATTGGTTTCATCTTTCCCTTGACTTTTTAATAAAAAGATACAGTTAAATGATCTTTTTTCTAAAAGAAAAAAAAACCATGTAATTGTTTTTCACAGACCTTCAACTGTTCTTACAAAGCCTTTGGTGAATTGTGGGGACAAGCTGGGGCAGGGACAAACTGTTGAGGGTTTGATGTAGTGTCTAGGGCAATTATTTGATTAATGCTTTCCAATTGATTCATGTCACTTTCCTATATTCCTTAGCTGCTTTGTGAGGACTATTGGCATGTGTGCCTGAGTGTGGCTCATGTGTGTGTGCACACAACCACCAGCCTGTGTGGATATCTGTGTTTTTATATTTGCATTCATAATATTCTTATTTTCTAGGATCTATTGAATTTTATGGTTTTAATTTTTTTCAAAAATAAAAACTCATTTTCTTTCCTCTCAATTTCGCTTCTTTCTAGCAATTCTCATGTGTCTGTGAAACAGCAAGACCATTGTAAGGCCTACATGGCCCAAAGGTTCAGTAAGAATAAATGCCGTGATGGGTGTTGGAAACCCCACTGTTATACATATTTATATGCAATAAGTACCTGTTGATTGATTGATTCTCCTGGGGGATATTGAGCAAGTAAAAATCATGGATGTAAATATTTTGCTTGTGATTTTGTATGATTTACCTTTCAGGAGAGTCGCTGATAACTCTTTCCAACTATAAGTCTTAGGGAGCACTATCAACCTCCTAGGGGAGACCTGCACCATCGTAGATCGCAGATTCAACTTGAATAATCTCAACAGTCAGTTACCAAAACTCGCTCTAGACTGATAAACTGAGAATGAGACAGTGGGTCTTGGCAGTTCTAACATTTCTTATATCTTCTACTGCAGCTAAGTTTCGTAAGTATTACTTGTCAAGTAAAATTTTTAAATTTTTAAATTAAATAATTCAAAGAATGTTTGCCTTGTTTTAAACTGGTTGCTTCCCGCTGTTCCAGCTGGACTGTAACCTGGAATATTCATTTATGCTCTATAGTCATTCTTCATCACAAATCTATTAGGACAAATTCTTCACAACAAATATATCATAATTTTAGTTTTACATAATATGTCAAAAGTTTACAAAAATATATCAAAATTTAACACGGTGCCTGCACATGGGACATATTGTAAGCATTTTTGTTGACTGACAACATACTTTGTGTAGATAGACATGGCTGCTGTTCTCTTGGATCAGTGTGGGAGACGGAGCTCCAAATTCATTCATTAATCTGTGGTACCCATTAGAACATTTCATAAAAGATTTTAATCATTTACCTACTCTTTCTCAGTTAAAATATCACAAAGTATAACTATTTCTAAAATTAACCCTCAAAGGGGATATTGAGAATATAGGAATTGTAATCTTCTTATATGATCATTTCAGAATCATATTTATATATATATTTTTTATTTGTAGTCAAGTCATCCTGGGGCCTGGAAAATGAGGCTTTAATTGTGAGATGTCCTAGACAAGGAAAATCTCGATACCCAGTAGATTGGTATTACTCAGAAACCAACACAAATATTCTCACCGAGAAAAGAAATCATCTACTTGCCTCAGGGGAGAGTCTTAAGTTTCTCCCAGCCAACGTCAACGATTCTGGAATTTATACTTGCATTCTCAGAAGGTATTATCCAGGCAGCCACCATGATCTTTGGGCCTGCTCCCTTTTCTTCAGTAGTTGGTAGTCTGAGCTGCCTTCACTTTCCTCCCCTTTTTAGACCTTTCTGGAACAGTTGAATTTATAAAGTGATGTGAATATAAGAGTATTTATAGGAACACCATCAGGTTGCCGGTTAGGTGATTATGAACCAACTATTTAGATGTGCAATTGTGGGGATGGGTTTGTAGCCCAAATAGAAGAAAACCCTAGCTTTCCCAGGGACAAGAGAACTGAAAGCAATTGCTCATTTTGGCCTGGAAGTAAGAACAAACCAGCACAGAAAATGGTGCCCTGGATGATGGGCAGCAAAGAGGCCTTGGGAGGTGCAATGGTGGTTAGCAGTGCCTCGAACCTAAGGGATAAGCTAAAGAGGGTTACCTGAGATTGAGTCATTTTTAGGGCTACGCTAGGGGTTATCTCGAATGTAACAAAAAGTATTTAAAGCTCTAGATTTTAATGACTATTTTTAAATAAGAACAGGATCATTATATATCAATTGTTGTGAGAAGAAAAGCAATATTAAGTAAAAGCTAGAGTTGGATGAAGTTGTTTCATAATGCTAAGTTACTTTTCAAAATTATTTGATTGATTTTAATAGTCCTGCTGCCAATAAGACTGGATATGTGAATGTCACCATATATAAAAAACAACCAGATTGCAATATTCCAGATTATCTGATATATTCAAAGACATCTGGATCAGAAAAAAATTCCAGAATATATTGTCCTACAATTGATCTGTACAACTGGACAGCACCTGTTGAGTGGTTTAAGGTAAAAGGAAATTTGGGGGAAATAGATGAAAATAACACAATTAAAATAGATGCAAGTAAAGAAATATTGTAAATGGAATGGAATTTTTTCTTTCAGAATTGTAAAGTTCTTCAAGGGTCAAGGTACCACACACACAGTACATTTTTGCTGATTGACAATGCAACTAGTAAGGACGCAGGTGATTACACATGTAAATTTATGCACAATGAAAATGGAGTCAGTTACAGCGTGACAGCAACCCGATCATTCGAAGTTAACGGTAAGCTACTGAACTTAACACAACAGAATATTTGAAAAAAGATAACATGAGAGAAATTCTGCCCTTCTTGTTGATTTTTCCGTTCTTCATCCTCCCCCCCGAGATTTCCTCCTGCGTCTTATCTTAGACATTCTCTACAACTGTACTATCAAGATTTAAGAAGTTTCAGAGGACGATTATGCTGCTAAGCCAAAGCCACATCTGTTCTCTCCTCTATGACTTAATTTTTCAAAGACAATATGATCTGAACAATAATTTAATTCACTTTTTTGAATGGCGAGACAACTATTGGGAGAGCAAGATTAACTTTCCTTCTCCCAATTTGTTGTCAGAGGTTCTGCAAACAGAAAAAGATCCATTTGATCTCTAATATAGCTAACTGGGTTAGAGGTTTAGCGAGAAGCTTTATAAAGGGATAGATAGATATTGTTGAGTGATTTTCGATCCTGGTTTGCAATGCTTTCAACATCATCAATGACCTCAGTAGGTCACTTCATTCTAAAACAGTTTTTTCAAATTTATTAAACTCTATAAAAGCCTGCTCAGGGAAAAGATTTCACAATTAACCATATCAAATCTTCAAAGAGTCGAAGTCTCCTCGTCATACATCTGTGGCTGTAGATGCAGTGACTTTTCTACGTGTGCCAGATTTCTTAGAGCAAAGCAGTAGCAGAGAAACGTTTTGTTTGGGGTTTTTCAATGCTCCACTGCTGTCAAACAAGCATCACCAGACCTCGTTTCTCTGAGTGCCTCTCACTGTTCAATGTCAAAATCTGTAGGGGTCCTTGGTCACACCATCCTGAAATAAACAAGAATCAAGCAGGGCTCCAGAAGACTCCCTTTTCCTTGTCTCTAGGCATCAGTGTCACAGGAATTAAGATTTCCTAATAGAGTGGGCCACAAAGGTGGAAACCTGTGAGCAGAAGTGTGGACTACTTAGGTGTTTATCATCTTCATGGGTCTTTTGAAATCTTCTTCCCTGTAGTGTTATGCTTATTCTGCAGAATTGCGGTTTTCTAACAACTGCTGGGGCAGGCAATTAATTTAATGCGTTGAACTAACATTTGTTTTAATGATATCAAAGAGAATCAAAAATATCAAAGAGTATCATAGTTGGTAAGAGAAAGTATTACTTGAATGTTTTTGTTTCTTTTGTGTGTGTGTGTGTATTTATTGCCATGGGTCACTGTCAGAAAAATGTGAGAAACATCGCTATGACACAGGATAGAAATATGGATACACAAGCTTTGTACTGATGACCATCCAATGCTCTCCTAACATTTATATTCTCTTTTTGTCTTTGACTTAAGATGAGGAAGGCTTTTCTTTGTTTCCAGTAATTATAGCCCCTCCACAAAATGAAACAAAGGAAGTGGAAATTGGTAAGAAAAATTTAAGCGTTCTGTAAATGTTGCCTGGAAAATCTTTCCCTCTGACCCCTGAATTCCCAAGCAGGAGTCCGGCAATTAGGACAGTTGATTTTGAGGATTAAATGAGATGCCATGTGTGCTAATAATTGGGAATGTGTGGTCACAGCAACATGCAGCATTTACATTAGTATCACACTTTGTAACTCATGGTGCTTTCACATGGGCCATCTCATTTTATTCGCACTCTATCCTGGAGGTAGATATTGTTCTCACTTTATGCTGGTGGATACTTAGGGTCAGAGAGGCTAAGTGTCACAGTGGATCAATGACGTGCCCGAGGTTGTGGATAATCTGTGATAGAAGCACGAGAGCCCAGACTTTCTGACTCTGTCCATCTCTGCCTTTCCTGGTTCCCCACTAGAAGTGGGCTACAACTCAAAGTTCTTAGCGTGTAAAACAAGTCCCCTCATGACCTGGTTCTCACCCCAATCCTGGCCCATCTGCAGCCATTAACCCCACACGCCCCAAGTCCCCACCACACCGACCGCCTCATGGTTATTACAATGATGCGGAGCATTTTCACATTCTTCCTGCTTTTGTCCATATTGGTCCTCCTTCTCGTCTCTTACCTGCCAGAGAGCAGGATCAGAGCCTCCATCTGATCAAGTCCAGGGGCACCATTTACATGCTCAGCGTGGTAGCCCTCCCTGCAAGATTTCCCCCTCTGTATTCCCATGTCATTTTGTCAATCTTTCTACTAAATAGAACACTAGAATACCTTGTGTTCTCATCATTTGTTTACACCCTTGTTACCTTCTGAGAGACTCCTAGCTCCTCACCCCTCTTCAGGTGCCTAAGTCTTGACACAGGAACTAAGGGTTCAGCAAGGACGGCTGAATGCATGTCTCAAGGCAGGAAGGCGGCCCTGATGCTTTCAGTTCTGAAAGGAGGAAGTCTCAAGTTAAAGACATTGGACTGGAGAATGCTCTTGTTGGATGATTAAATATTGGGCTTGTAGCTGGGTCAGATAAAATACAGTTTTACCAACAAAGGTAGCTTATAGAGGGATGAAGAGAATTCAGGAGAAAGATGTGGAAGAGAGAATTTAAAAAGAAATTCCAATTGATGGTAAAGGGAAATCCTACACTATAATGTGGGATTGATGAAGCCAGAGTCATTTGCCTCTTTAGTTTCCGCTGCATGTGAGAGAGTCATCTGCCTCTAGTTTCCTCTGCATGTGAAAGGCAAGTGGGAGCTGAGCTTCAACCGGAAGTGAGTGAAATGAAGATAATGGGAGAGACGGAGGAGTCCAAGTAAAGCCATAGAGGAATGAAAGTGCTAACGACGAGGAGGGGAAATGAGAATCGATTCATGACGCATACTAGCTGTTCAACAAGTTTTTTCCCCATTAAATCAAATTAAATTAAATTAAATGCCTTTTGCAGAATTTAATTTTATTGGTGTAATTTCTTTACTTCTCATCTAGGAAAAACAGCAAGCATAACTTGCTCTGCTTGCTTTGGGAAAGGCTCTCAGATCATGGCTGCCATCCTGTGGCAGGTTAACAGAACCAAAGTTGGGGACTTTGGCGAAGCAAGAATTCAAGAGAAGCAAGAGCAAAACCAAAGGTATTTTTATATAGAAGTTAAAACATCCCCTTCCCTCCCATACAGTTTGCAACTGCTAAGTAAGCACAGAAAGTAACAAGTTGCCTCTTAGTTCCAGCAATGAGATGACTTGTCTCAATGCCGTTTTAAGAATAGCTGATGTGAAAGAAGAGGATTTATCCCTGAAGTATGAGTGTTGGGCCCTGAATTTGCACGGCTCAAGAAACCACATCATAAGACTAAGGAGGAAAAATCCAAGTAAGGAGTGTTTCTGAGACTCTGGTCACTTGAGATTGCTGTATCAACTATGGGCTGAAATCATTTTCTGAGACAGCAATGTGTTGGCGTGTGGTTCCAGGGGATCTATCAAGACAACGGAAGTGGCTCATCTCATAAAAGTGCTTCTCCTCTTGAGGACGCTGACCGTTTGCAGCCTGGGCTTCTCAGAATGTTTTTGTTTGCTTGGTCTCCTCTCTACTGCTTTCCTCCCCCTCCTCCCCTTCCTCCTCTCCCACCTACTCTCCTTGTTGGTTCCTCTTTGATACCCACCTGCCTCCTTGGTCATCCTTCTGTGCTTTCTAACTTCATTAGCTCTCTCTGCCTCATTGTAGGTGGAAAAAAATACACCAACAGTAAACTGTGAACATGTTCTTTTGTTACCTTTTATAACATGTTATAAACACGTTCTCTTTTTTAACTTATTTCTTTGTCATAAAGAACACACTTTTTTTTTTTTTTTTTTAGTGAGGCTGGCAAAGGGGACAAAAAGGTGAAGTCTTTAACTACTGCCCATTCTAGCAAGAAAATCTTAGATGCTACTTTGTAATAAGACATGCATTATCATTGTTAAACTTTTATAAAATATTAAATTTAGGTAGAACTCATGGGACGTCTGGTAGCTCAGCCCATTTCCGCATTATATCTGTTATTCAACATGCAATCCAGGTACCACCTCTTCTGAGGAGACTTGCTTGACCACCAGTTTGGAGTATATACTCCCTCTACGTATTCCCACAGCATCCTGTCTCGATTGCTGCTGTCTTACAAAAATCTGTTTGAGAGTCTGCTCAACATGACTATAAGCTCCATGAGGGCAGGGTGGCATCTTCCCTATCTCGAGTCCTCAGTCTGTAGTGCAGTACTTGGCACATAGCATATGCTTAAAAAAAAATTTGCTGAATGAATGTACACCAAAGTTATCAAGGAAAACTATTTTTGTATATTTCTACTTCTCTAGCTATAGGGCTTAATTACACAACAAAACAATAACCTATATTTGTGTTTGTGTTGTGTTGAATAACTTTTCTCATAAATTGGAAAGGCCAAATTATTTATAGCTTCCCTATAGTTTATAGTTTTATCTAAATCCAGCATGCTTTTACTGACTTCATTATAATTGTTGCAATAAAGTATTATAAGAAAAATATGAAACCGACTACTCTTCAATGGATTAATTTCAGACACCATATATAATCTTTTAAAACGTAACATACACTTTCACAAACAATCGGTGGCATGTGGAGGCAGGGTAGAGAAAGTGATCTGTCTGGGTGTAAGCAGCAGAAGGATACATTGTCTGTAGGGAGTTCAAAGCAGTAATAAAGCCATCGCAGAGTCATCGTGCTTTCTATTACCAGCATACCCAGAAAACGTTAAACAAGTCAGCAAGGACACACTCCTCCTCTCGGGGACTGACTGCTTCTTCCTCCCACTCCCACGTCACTCCATGCAATGACATCAGCAAAAATAGTTTTAGAAACATTTCCTTCCTGAGAACCTGTCGATTTCCTCACTTGCTTGCACTTCCAAGCAAACACATCCTGTTTGTGAGATGAATTTTATACTTAATTCAGTATAAAAGGGCGGGGAGAAAAATATGATATTTTTATACTTGTCACTCCATGTACAACCATGTAGAAATTATTCACTGTGTTTGTCAAATAGCCAAAGGGAGAGTGAAACTTGGTTTATACTCCTAAGTGGGGTATAGCCCAGATTAATTTGAATACACCCACAAAGGCACAACATGATGAAAAGGATTGGGGGTGATGAGAAAGCAGGCCACCAATTTGATGTGGTTGTGGTAAGTTTTTGCCTGATGTGGTGCTTGGGATTTTTCTTGTTTTAATTTCAACTTTGTTGATTTATACGTTTTTATAAGACAAACAGAATCATGATTACTGTAAATAATTTTAAGTGCTATCATGTTCTGTGGGCTGTCAGGCTTCTGCCAGTTATAACTGTCACCCAGGACGTGTGGACCACATGGAGATGTTATGTTAGGGTAGTGTTTGTGGGGCTGACAGCGTGGTGGCTCTCGGAGGAAAGGGGAAGCCACCCTCCAACCCGGCGCTGCCATCGCGTCCCTATCCCAGTGCTTTGCTTATGTTGTCATTCTATGAGTGTTCTTTGGTTACCTGTGTGTAGGAATTGTTTTCATGTTGTATGTCCTTGGCGATTTTGTTCCTTCTGATTTATTCGTACTTGCTACCTTTTACCTGTTTTTCTTCAAATCAACACAGTTTTACTCTGTTTCAACAACTGAGTAAATTAAACAAAATTGTTGTTACTGCTGTTGAATTGTCACAATGAATTCCTTCATCTCTATTCCTAGAACAAAAGAAATTACAGCACTGCCTTGAATTTTAAAAAGGAAAACTTACAAAACCTATGCCCCCATATTATTAAATAAATATTTGATACTCATAATAATAATAGTACACATTTATTCATTATTTCCTATGTACCAGTACATGTCTAACTATTTTTCATTTAATTTCTCATTTATTTTATCAATACTCCCTGAAGAAGAGACTGTAACTATCATCTAAATTTTGTGTGTGTGTGTGTGAGGAAGATTGGCCCTGAGCTAATACCTGTTGCCAATCTTCCTCTTTTTGCTTGAGGAAGATTGTCGCTGAGCCAACATCTGTGCCAGCCTTCCTCTATTTTGTATGTGGGCCACCACCACAGCATGGTTTTGATGAGCAGTGTGTAGGTCTGTGCCCGGGATCTGAACCTGTGAACCCTGGGCTGTCAAAGCAGAGTGCATGAAGTCAGCCACTACACCACTGGGCCAGCCCCACTACCATGTCATTTTATAGATGAGGAAACTGAGACAAAGAGAGGTTGAATAACATGCCAAGTACTACAGAGCCAAGATTCACAGGCAGGCAGGGATTTCCTGTTTACAGGCACTTACAGAAGGTATTTAGTATTTAGTCATCACACGCAAGAATTAGCTATACATTTATAAAGTCCTTAACACTTAGAAAGAAACTGAACTGCAACTTCCTTTAGTGCCTGGGATATACTTCTTTCTTCCAGTTGAAGGCAGCCAGCCCCATGCACAGCTACTTCATAACAATCTCTACAAGAAATACAGATGCCAGCATGCATCCAGATAGGATTTTTAGAAAGTGAACCAGAGAAGATTCCTGTTGAAGTGATGAATGTAGGGAACATTTATCATTTAAAATGATGACAGGGCAGCCAGTGAGCTCTCTGCCAGTTTTCAGCCCCTGTCCCCCAGTTTTGAATCACTTCCCCTTGGTCATTCTTCATCTCACAGTGCTGGATACTCAGGGAGCTGATAAATCAGTGGAAGAATTTGCAAATACGGGGCAGTGATTTTCTGTGGCAAAACCGAGAGCCCATGCTTTGAGACTTCAGATGAAAATGAAAAGAGAACTATGTGGCCCAGCGTCATTTGACATTCTTCTCACATTCATCTTTAAGTGGAACTATTTGTAAGATAGGATAGTTAACGATTCTAAAGAGGGAAGTAAACTTAAAACAGCCAAAGATACTATTAGTGAGGACAGTTCTTACGTTCAATTTGTACATATCTGTTACAAGTCCTTAGAGATGAGGACCATCTTGCATATGTATTTTGTGAAGCGATGAATACAGGATAAAAGTTCAGTGATGGCTAAATAATGTTCACCGTAAGAGAAATAAAGGCTATGTGTACGACCTAGAACCCAGTAATTTGACTTCTCCATCACATATGCTTTAGAGACTTACGTGGCTCTTGTTTCTAGCCTGCTTTCCTATGCCACCAACTGCAGATACAATGAGTCCCTGAGACCTACTGATTCTTTCTCCTTGATGCCCCCAGCACTAGACTTGCTCATTCCTTTCTCTTTATTACACGATTTTGAACCCTCTTATTTCTCACCCCAAGTACTACAAAAACTTTCCATTTCATTCTACTCTGAATACCTATGCTCTCTTTCCACAGAAACAAACCTCCCACTAGATTAATCTTGCTTGAAAACCACTTTCAGTTTTAATACCCTACTTACTACTCTTCAGTGGCCCCATGACCTTCAGAATAAAGGCAAAATTCTTTACTGGAGCCTCAAGTCTGGTCAGAACCTAGCCCTGACACACCTTTCTAATTGTATCTTCCACTAATTCCCCAAATTACATTACTCCACTTCCTCAGAAAACACACTCCCATCTCCACCCTTGGGCTCCAAGCATCCTCTCTTGCCAAGAGTACACTGCCTTTTTCGCAGGTACCTGAATCTTACCCATCGTTCAGGGACCTCCTCCCCCAGGAAGTCTTCATTGCCCAGTTCAGCGTGGAGTGAGCGCTCCTTCTAGATACCTCTGCCAACTAAAATTAATGCTTTTACCTCCTATCTTAGTTAAGTTGGCATGTGTCTCTACATCTTTTATGCTTTGAGAATCCCCTACAATGTCTAGCCTGGTGCCTTGCACAGAAGAGGGGCTCAAAAAACATTTACTTACTGATTCTTAAAGCAGCCATGACAATTCCATGGAGGCATCTCTTGTATGAATCTCGAACTCTCAGTGGAGGCAGCATAGGTGTATTTGTTTATCTTGTTTTAGTAATAATAATGATCATTTTTGTCCTCCCCCTATCTTTTGAATAGCTGAGCATCAAAGCACCTACTACATACTTGCAGGATTTAGCATATTGTTAATGCTAATCATTGTCATGATGATAATGTTAAAAGTGTTCTGGATTGAAGTTATTCTGCTCTGGAGAGACATAGCTAGACCTTACAAAACTAGGAACGGTAAGTGGCAAGTTTCAAGTTTTCCTTTAAAAAGAAAAGGTCCCATAATGGTTGTTGGTTACTTATCTATTAATCTCTTAATAGCTGTGCTATGAAACCCTGATTCCCCTTTGCTTACTAACATAGTAACAGTACATCTTTCTTGAGTCCACTCCAGGAACATTCTCCATTCTGCCTTGCTGCCCCTCGTGGTTCTGAGATTTATCTCAACAGCTCAAATATCTCTCCAGTGGGATTGCTGTCCCTATGAACTCCCCAATAACAGAATCTGCTCAAACCCAGAAAGGTTTAAACATTCTGGAAAATGTGAATTGGTAAAACTTCATGGAATTCAAAACATTAACAAAATTGTTCCTGTTTTCCAGATGTGAATAGGTTAGAAATGTCCATCAGAATGCAGGTGTATTTTACCAGAAACCCTGTTCCAGAGAGAGGCTTGCCCAGGCACATGAAAGAAGCCAGTTCTGCCTGCTTAGTAGGAACACCATCCTTTCATTTGGAAGCAGATATATGTCAGATTTTCCATGTGGTCCACTCAATCAGGGGCTAATTGTTTGATTTGTGAGAAATTCTGCCCCCTTTAAACATTCTATCTCCTTGCTACTATTGGCCATTAGCATTTTCACTTCCCCAGAAGAAGCATGGGGAAAACAAAGGTAAAACTGAGATCTATCCAGCACAGAAGACCCTTATCCATGACTGTAAATACTTATTTTAATAGATCATTAATCAAAGTTGACAATATGGTTTGAACTATACTGGACAGACTCTTACCTATTCTCCATCATTCAGTCTGAGACACTAAAAAGGAGAACTTCGGGACTAAGACTGATTTCCTGATGACATTTTGGGGCTGTAAATTGTTGCCATCACCTCTGGATTCCAGAATATTTGGGAGGCTGGGATATGTTCCTCAGCTCGGTGAAAAAATGTTTACTGAGAGGCAGATGAGAATTTTTAAAAACCAAGTAATAGAATTGTACTTCTTGTTCTCATTTTCAGATGGAAAGATCTATGATGCTTATGTTATCTACCCACGGAACCAGAAAAATAGTCCCGAGGGGGCCAGTTCTGTGGAGCACTTCGTTCACCAAATTCTGCCTGATGTTCTGGAAAATAAATGTGGCTATAACTTATGCATTTATGGCAGGGATCTGCGACCTGGAGAAGGTAAAGCTATCAACATACATCAGGGCCAGAAAGTCACATTCATCTGAAGGCTAAGAGATAGGTGGTCTTATCCGTGCATTGGATAAGGAGTTGCAATCATGATCCTAGGCCCCGTGACCAGAGCTTTTAAGTATTTCTCCCTCCGGAAGAAGGAGACACTTATTCTTTGCTCCTCCTGCTGCCATCGCCACCCTGATCATGACATCTTCACGGTAGTGTCAGTGACATGAAGACAGAACGAGGTGTCCTTGCTATATGGAGTAGCAAGGTACTGCCCGTACTTCACTTTCCGCGTCCCCCACTGGGCTAACTCTGAATTCTCTTAATTCTATCTAGAAGATTTGAACGAAGGCTTAAAAATTAAAGAATTTTATTCTAATATCCAGAGGTGCTGGCTAAAATATCCGAAAGGACTCAAGGAGTCTTCATGATGTTCCTCATATTGGGGAAGCATTTGCAAATTTCTATTCTTACAAGAATAAATAGAACTGTGTCTTCTGTTTCTCAATATTCCTTGCTGGTTTCATGTACCTTTGGCAGTTGTGTCACAATTCCCGCATGTCGGGAGTTCTTCTCTTCTCTCCATATTTATGTCAAGTACCTATGAAAGCTCCTGGGAACTCTTCTCGAATTCCTCAGAGACCAGGATGGTTTGAAATGTGAATGAGGCAGGGACATCATGAGTGGAAGTCCAGAAAAGTAAATGTTTAGGAGACCGTGAATTTAAACTGGTATTCCTCCGGAAAAGACAGAGTCGAGTGCCTGTAGATTTAAAGGTACGCACAACAGGTGAATTCGGTTTATCCTGGAATATTTGGGTAATGTTAAGAGCCTAGTAATGGCTTGGGAGACTTACAAAATGTACAATTCAGAAAAATGTAACCCAAGCCTTCCCTCCAGGCTCTTTCCTTTCCCCAGCGCTCCCCATTGGCTGCCATGCAAGTAGAGAGAGAGTCATGGTGCTCAAAGGCTCTTTTCATGTTGCACAAGTGCTCAAGAAGCTGCGAGGACTCCAACTGTTTGTCATGTCACACCAGCTGCTACATGTGGCTACATGTGGCTGCAAGCTCTTCATCTCTTCTTTCTCAGGTCCATCAACCTCGTTTCTAATTACACCTTTCGCCAGCCAAACGTGAACGCCAGCTCACTGATCCTCAAGCTTGTGTTGCCTTTTTTGTGCTATTTTTCATTTGGAAAGTTTTCCCACTTCCCCTCCCTCAAGTATGTCCTCCGACCTTTCCTCAACCAAAGTAAAATAAAATCCAACAAAACAACACCAAACTTCACTCTTCTGTAAGAGTGAAGTGAAAAGTTTATGACTGACTGATGCTGTGTATTTCTTCCTATGCTTGCTATCTTCCATTTGCTTCTTCAAATCCACTCTGCATCCCCCTCCGTCCAGCAGACCTGAGTGGCCCATCATTATGGAATCCATCACTCTCTTGCCCTCTGTTCCATGTTGGGTTTGGCCGATGAGAGACACTGGCAGGAGTTCAGAGGGCAAGAACATCCCTACCAGCTCTGGGTGGGGCTGCCAGGGTAGTTGTGCTCCTCTCTCCTGGAGCACAGGTTCCTGTCAGTTGGCTTTCCTCAGGCATTTATACTCCTTGGCTTCCATAACTGCTTCTTTCCCTTCATGCCTGGACGGTGGCAATGGGTCCCTGATGCTGCCAGTTGTGGGGTTCTGCACCATCTTTTGTTGATTTCCCTTGGCTCTGCTCACATCTTGCATAAGCTGTCCTTTCATTAAACTCTCTTTAGCCAGTCCTTTGGAGTGTGCCAAATTTGCTGTTAGGTTCCTGATTGACACAAAGTCTCTATCTGACACTATTGAACACTCATTTCCTAATTTCCAGCTACTATAGGAATTGGTAGCCTTTCAGCCGCTGCTCTCTAAGAATGTCTTGAGTTGTTTTGTTCTTGATTGTTTCCTTAATCATGCTGTGACCTCGCAGTGAAAACTGGTATTTTACATGTTCTTTCTAAGTCCCCCCTGAAGCTAACTGAAATCACCAGGGAGTTGATGCTCCATAAACCCTGACTTGATAAGGAGATCTGGTCTTTCCAAGATTTTTCTAGTCCAGATCAAATCAGCTTCTAAAGCAGAGACTATTGAGGGGCGAGGTGGATCCAGCCCTTCAATAGAGACTTTAGTTGCTTCAGAGGAGCAAGAGTTCCTGAGGTTGCATTCTTTGAGGGTTAAAATTCCAAGCTCTTTTAAAACATGTGAGCTAATGTCCTTAGAAGATATGTAGCTAATGAACCTGAACTAAGTCTCCTGCTAAATACTCCTACCTTCTCATTTAACCGGAAGAGCTGTTTCAGTTTGGACTGATCCACCTGGGAAAGAAGAGGGCCTTGGAGTGGTTGTGCTCCTGGTGACGGGGTAAGGCAAACATAGCGGGTCTCCATCCAAGTACATTCCCACTTTTCTGAATAAGTGAACTGATCACTGTCAGAATCTCACACGAGATTATAACAATGATAATTTTTTAAAAGTTCAGAACATTTGTGACCAAACCATTAGACTTAAAAAAGCAACAACAGAACGTTTTATCCATGTCTTTTATTCCCAGATGCAGTCACCGCAGTGGAAACCAACATACAAAAGAGCAGGCGGCACATTTTCATCCTAACTCCTCAAATCACGCACAGCAAGGAGTTTGCCTACGAGCAGGAGATCGCCTTGCACAGCGCCCTCATCCAGAACGACTCCAAGGTGATTCTGATTGAAATGGAGGCTCTGAGCAAGCCGGGCGGACTGCAGTTTGGGGAGCTCCAAGATTCCCTCAAGCATCTCGTGAAAGTGCAAGGTACCATCAAGTGGAGGGAAGGCCATGTGGACAACAAGAGGTCCCTGAATTCCAAATTCTGGAAGCACGTGAGGTACCACATGCCTGTGCCAAACAAACCTCCCAGAAAGACTTCCCGCTTGGCTTCCCTGAGTGCCCACGGGCAGGAGTGCCTGCTTTGATGTGCTGACGCGCCCGATTTTGCAGATCCAAACTCCTAGCTGGGTTACACCACAAAGAGACATTGGGAGCTGAGGCTGGGAAGTAGCAATGTCAAGGGTATTCAGGCCTCAGATTTCATCTAGTAACTTTACTTCCATTTTCTTGATTCTGGGAGGATGCAAAATGCCCAGAAATTTTTATCCTCAGTTCCCCTCTCTCCACCTCATATTTCTTACCCTTCTTCCCTTCGCTGGTCTTTCTGCATTGTGGAGTAGGACGTTGTCACCACGCTCTTTTCCTCTTTCTCTCTTTTTTGTTCTTCCTCTCCTCATTTCTTGTCAATAACCTACATTCTGAACATCAACCTAAAAGTTTTGAAGTTAAATTTTCATGTAATCTTGAAGAACACTCAGTTTCCCTCAAGCAGAACGTGAGTAGTAAATCTTCTTCCCCAGATTCCAGAATTTACTGTATTTTATTTGATCAGATGCTTAGTCCCATCATCTCAATATTGTCAACTTTGTTGGAGTACCTTATCCCAATTGCCATTATGATCATTTTTTTCAGTTCTAAAATTTCTTTCATATATTTTTATTCTCTTCAGAAATATTTTTTCTCACTATAAAAGTGATATAAGTACATTGTAGAATGGAAACTATAAAAAAAGAAAATAACAAAAATCATTCATAAACCACATCCTAAGGTTATGACTTTTGATAAATTTTCTTGTATTTTTAAAAAATTTTAATTCATACTTACACATACTGTTTATACAGCTGAGATTAAACAGTGTGTAGTTTTTGTATTTTTTTCTATTTAATACTATGGTAAAAGCGTTTGACACGTCATTTAAATTTTAACATTTTAAAATATTCATAGTGTTCCATCTCACGGTTGTGCTACAGTTGACATGCCTAATTCCTTATTTTTAGATGTTTAAGTTGTATCCAACTTAAATAGCCACCATTATAAATTCTGCAATGACCATATCGGTATAACTCCCAATTAAAAAGAAAATGTTTTTTGTAACATTTCTATGAAATTAGTGTGGCATTTTGGCAGAACTGTTTTGGCAAAATGGAAGTTAATTTGCACAGTCCAGGCCACTCCCGTCAGTTCCCGGAAAGAGCTCACATTACATCAGAGCCGGTCCGTGGATCCAGAGCTAAGGCAGGGTGTCCACTGGGGCAGAGAGTTCCGTTGGAGCCTCAAATTTTGAAAGCGGATGGAGAGCCTATCCTCAGCTGAACTGCTTAAATGAAGTGTATGATTCCATGTTTAACTGACAAAAGAAAACTGCTTTCCAGACCCTTGACGTGGAGTGTAATCTTAAACTCACTGTCATTCAGTACCTACAGAATCTTGCCTGGAAAGAAGTCATATTTCAGGAAGGTTGCCTAAAGGATCTGTATTTACCCATCCCTCTAGATACACTATGATCTACATCTCTACTCCCTGGATTAGAGTTGCCAGATAAAATACAGGACATCAGTTAAAGTTGAATTCAGACAAGGAAATTTCATCTGAAATTGATCTGAAATTCAAATTTAGCTGGGTGTCTTTTATTTTTATTTGCTAAATCTAATTACCGTACTCTGGCAGATTATTGTGCTTTTATGTGGTGACATCTGATATTATTGAATTACTAAAAAATTAGCCAATGAAAAGGATGCAGTATAGTTGATTGGTTAACATCATAGCAGTTGGGATCAACGAGTCCTCGTCAGCTGCCAACCAGCTGTGTGACCATGAGTAAGTCATTTAACTTCTCCAAACTTAGTTACCTTCGGTAAAATGAGAATAATCATACCAAACTCTTTGTATTTATGCGCTAATCAAACGAAAAAAAAAGGAATTATTTGGACCAGACCAGAGTAAAGATTCAATAAATGGCAACAGTTGTTATAACACTTCACATGTTTCTTGTCATGTGGATTATATTCCATTCCTTTCTCAACGAGGACCTCTAGTGAATATATCCCCTCCAACCTCACCATCAGGAATAGGTGTGCCTTTATTCCTGCTTCCCCACCCAGCCAGAATGACAGATGTGTTTTGATTTATGGACATAGGGAATTTTGGAACTGATCTTATTTCCCCCTTTATATTAGCTGCTTGAAAGCATAGACCCAAATCTGGGATCTTTCGACAGCAAGTAGATAGGAATTTATAATAACCTCTTCCCTTGCTTCATATTATCTTTGTTTTTGATTTTTCCCTTATTTTTTATTTTTAAATATATTTTGACTGTCTATATTATGAGCTCCTTTGTAAGTACTCAACAAACATTTACATTTTCTGAGAGTGTGCTGAGCCTCTGTTTGCGAGGGGCGGGAGAGGAAGGGCTGTGAAGGGACATCACAGGACACAGGTGAGTAAGGCACACTCCTTACTCACCTTATGGGGTTTCAAGTCCACTGTGGGAACTTGGAAGGGAGTGGGAAACACTCCAGAGAACCCAGACAGGGCTGGCCTCAGGGGAGAGCCTGACATCGCTGAGCTCTTTCCTCCATCACCCCTTTTCTTAAACTTACACCCACCTCCCAAGTCACTTGAGATCTCTGGGCCTCAGATTCTGCAACTGAAAAATGGGAGGATGGAGAAGAAAAGCTGTGACAGCTTTCTCAGCTCCAGTAGCTCATACTTCCAAGCTGCCTGGTCAGGAAATTCCCAGAAGACCTGGCTTCTCATACCAGCAGCATCACTGACCTCTCTCAGTTTCTTCACCTGCACAGTGAGAGTCATAGATGCTCCCCCTGACACACAGAGCATGGTGAATAAAACGAATTCAGCCAAAACTTGTTGGGTGTCTACCATATGGTCATCTAGAATCATGTACAAATTCCTGTGAATTATAAAAACACAAAGAATTACTTTCGATTGAGTCAAATTTGCATTCAATAAAATGAAGGTCCTAAGTTTGGTGAGTTTTGATGATTACACATGTCCGTGTAGTTATCACCTGAGACAAGACAGAAATATTTCCAGCACCCCAGAGAGTCCCTCTGGCTATTCCCCAGTCAATCTCTCTCCCTCCTCAGAGGCAAACAATGTCCTGATTTCTATCTCACGGATTCATGTTGTCAGGTCTTGAAATTCACGTCAATAAAGTCGGACAGCATGGTGTCTGGTTACTTCCACACAACATAATATTTTTGGGATTCATCCCTATTTCACACAGGTCAGTAGTTTGTTTCTTTGTATTACTGAGTCACATTCCAACATATGCTGCCCAACAGTTTGTTTAAACATTTCCCTGTTGAGGGACATATGGGTTGCTTCCCGCTTATAGCTATTATGAATATGGCTACTATGAACATTCTTGTGGACGTATGTCTTACTTCCTTTGAGCCAATACCTAGTAGGGGTCTTTGGGTAGGTGTACGTTTAACCTTTTAAGAAACTGGCAAATTGTTTTGTGAACTAATTGTACCATTTTACATTCTCACCAGTTATGTATGAGATTTCTGTTCCTCCACTTCCTCACCAATGATTGATATTGTCAGGTTTTTATTTTAGTGGTTGTTAAATGAATCTCATTGTAGTTTTAATTTGCAGTTCCCTGATGATTAATGGTGTTGAGCTTTTCTCATGCTCTTATTGGCCATCCATGTATCATTCAGTGAAAGGAAAATCTTCTGCGCGTTTTTAAATTGTATTGTTTCTCTACATCTTGTTGATGTGTAGAAATTATTTATATATTCTGGATACAAGTTCTTTTTCAGATAGATGTAAGAATTTTTCTAGGCTTACCTATTCATTTTTTTAATGGTGTCATTGATGAGTAGACATTTTGAATTTTGATGGCATCTAATTTATCAATTTTTCTTGCATGGTTAGTGTTTTCTGTGTTCTAAGAATTTTTTTTGTTTTAAAAGATTGGTACCTGACCTAACATCTGTTGCCAATCTTCTGTTTTTCCTCTTCTTCTTCTTCTCCCCAAGGCCTCCCATTCCACAGTTGTATATTCTAGCTGTGAGTGCCTCTGGTTGTGCCATGTGGGAAGCTGCCTCAGCATGGTTTGATGAAAGGTGCTAGATCCACGCCCAGGATCTGAACCGCTGAAACCCTGGGCCACCGAAGTGGAACGCACGAACTTAACCACTTGGCCACAGGGCTGGCCCCTCTAAGTATTTTTTTTTTGCCTACCCAAAGGTCATAAAGATATTCTCCTATGCATTTTTATGAAATATTTATGGTTCCAGCTTTTATGTTTGGGTCTATGGTCCATTGTGAATTAATATTTGTATATAAAATGAGGTAAGGGTCAAGGTTCTTTTTTTTTAATAGAGATCTCAGTTGTTTCAGCAACATTTATGAAAAACTTTTCTTTCCCCATTGAATTGACAGGGTACCTTGGTCAAAAATCAACAGACTAGACATGCGTGGTCTATTATTCTACTCTCTGTTATTTTCCATTTATATGCTTATGCAAATATCACTGTCAAGATCACTATTGCCTTTTTGTAAACCTTCAAGTCAATGTAAGTCCTCTTTGTTCTTTGTTTTCTTTTTCAAGATTGTTCTGACTATTCTGATAGCGTGCACATACATGTAAATTTTAGAAACGGTTTCTCAATTTCTTTGAAAATTCCTCCTGGGATATGGATTGCGATAGGGATTGCATTCAACACTTAGACTCTATTACCTACAGAGTCTGAAATTGTAGAGACTCTATAAACTCTGGTTTGTGGAGAATAGGTATCTGAACAACGTCTCCCAATCCATTAACATGATAAATCCTTGTGTTTACTTAGGTCTTTCATTTCTTTGAGCAATAGTCTGTAGATTTCGTAACAGATATCTTGTACGTCTTTCAAAACATTTATACTTTGGTATTTAACACGTCACATTCTCAAGTCAACGCCCCTCTATTACTTCTCCATAGGGAACCCTCATCCCTCAGGTTAAGCAGAAGGCTTCAGCACAAACCTGAGTCCTGAGTGCTTGAGACAATGACCTCTTCCTCTCCTCGTGCTCGCCTCAGGGAGCCGTCCCTATCTTTGGGGCTCTTCCTTGGCTTCAGTCCTGTTCCCAGGCCTCCCCAGCCCCTACTCTTAAGCGCCCATGTTGCCTCTCTGCCTGGTGCAGGTTGACTCCCTCCTCACCTTTCTCTGGTGCAGACTGCTCTGCGCCAGAAGGGAGCTCAGGAGCAGCACTGGCGCGCCACCTCCAGGCCCTGCGGGTCACTCGGCCACCGCCCACCACCCAGAGCTCCCGGCACCCGGCTTCGCTGAGGCCGCCACCTTCCGCGGGGAAAGCGCGAGGCCGGATTTTCCAGCGAAGCCTCATCGCCCCCGCGGTCGGGTAGGTCCCGGAACGCCCAGGCCGGCGCCCAGGTGGAGGAGCCCATACCCTGGCACGCTGAGAAGAGCGCGTGCACCCCGACCCGGAGCGCGTCCAAACAGGGAGCACCCCAGACCCGGAGCGCCCCAGACTCGGAGCGCCCGCGATCAGGAGTACCTCCCTACGAGGAGCACCCCAGATCAGGCGCACCGTGAGTCCGAAGTATACCCCCGCAAGGATTGTCCCAAACCCAGAGCACCCGGCGACCGAGAGTATCCCCCACCAAGGAGCACCTCCGACTGGAAAGACCCCACTACCGAGAGCGAACCCCAACGAGGAGGGAGCATCCCCCGACGAGGAGCATCCCGGACAGAGAACACTCCGCGGGACCGGCAGCAGCGCCCCACTGGGAGCACCCCAGACCCGCAGCCTCCGCCAGCCAGCGGCTGCCAGACGTTTTTTCTTTCTTCTTGCTTTCTGTTTTTTGTTTGTTTCTTCTTCTTTTGTTTTTCAACCTTCTCTAGTTGCCTTCTCTCTTTAATCACACTTGCGGCTCCTCTCTGGTTCCTTGTTTCGGAGTCCCAGGGAGGCAGGGCAGTGCTGTTTCTCACTTGCTTTTTGAACTCCTGCCTCTGCCATCGCGACAGGTGTGAAGGAGGGACCGCCGCCCCCGCCCCAGCCTCGGCACGCCCGTCTGAAGGTGAGACCGGCGCCGCCACTGCCATCCACCCTTTCCCCCCTCCCTCTGCTGCCCGCCGGGGCGAGGGGCAACCCAGCCTGGGGGCAGGGATTCTGAAAACCTGACCAATTAAGTAGGTATGCCGTCCTGTGTACCTATTTGTGTGTGTGTGTAATTTTAAATGTTGAGTTTATACACATGAATAATTGGTGACACAGCCTCATCAACTTTCCCTGATAGTATAGTTTTGGAGGTTAAAACATTCCCAATTTTTTTTCTGGAAAGGTAAGAACAGTTAAAGTAGGTGATAGTTTTCATTTATTAACCACTTACTGTGTGTCTGACACTTTGTAGGAAGCTTCTAGATGCTCTTAACAGATTATAGAAAGTTACACTGACACACACATAAATGGGAGTGTGAGTCACCGAACCTTCCTACAGGCCAAATGAAGTAGGCACTGTTATGAACCTCAATGAAAGGAGGGGAACCAAAGCACAGAGAGGTGCAGTAATTTATGGAAGGGCATCCAGCCACTAAGTAATAGATCCCAGATTCACACCTAAATTCTCTTGATCCCAAAACCTCAGTGTTTGATCTGAGATGCCTCCAGGAGTCAGAACCACTGACAGGTTGCCTCGTAGTTATCAGACAAGTTAATGGCCGGGTCAGCCCAGTCAGGTGTGGACACCTCAGATGACTGTATTAATTTCACCCTCTTCCCTTGCTGCATTCTTGGGACCTCAGCAAACACCCAATCGGCGTTACGCAGTGCTAGGACCTGGGGCACACTTCTCAACCCAAGGGCTTTGGATGGGCTGGGAGGGCGTAGCTTTGGGGGAAACTGGGTTTGTGCGGGTTCTGGGGCAGTGTCACCTCCCCCCTGAAACAATCACAAATACAAAGGCTAAGAACAACCGGCTAGGAGCACAGTGAGAAGGCAGGGTCCCCATCCACAGGGAAACCACCAGGGAGTCAGAGTGAGCCTGGAGTAAGGGGCACTCATTGGGGTGCAGGCTTGGACCAAAGCTGTGCGGGCAGCAGCAGTTGGAGAGCTTCCTTGAGATGGCAACTGTTGAGGCCAGTTGCAAGGCCTGCAGGACCCCGGCAGCTTCTAGGAGAAGTGGGTAGGGTGGTCCGGGTGGAGGACCAGCTCATGCTTGGGTGATGGGGGAAAGCCTAAGGACAGTAACAGCAGACATGTGTGTGACAAGGACAATGAGAGGGAATGATTTTCCTGGCCTTGCAGATGAGAAACCTAATTCAACATAAATTCTTTTTTTCTTAGAGTGGAAGTGTGTGTGTGCATGTGCACACACGTACGTGTGTGTGTGTTACATCCAAGATCACTTTTTTCCCTTTGCGTTTGGTTGTTTTATCATCTCAGAGGCTGAGTGAAACACTTGTGCAAGGAACACTGTAGAGAAAGAATTAGGTTTAAAAAACCACTGGTGTTGTGATTTTCATCAGGGCAGTTTATCTTACGAGGTGCTCAGTGACATGTTTGCTAATAACAGTCATATACATTGAGGCAGTCTACACCTGTTTATGTGAGTCAGTATAACTCTATAATCTGGACTTGACCATTTCACCCGGCCAAGTCTCAGGTTCCTTGTCAGGAAGATCTTCGACGTGGCCTGATAATTATGGGTTTCTGCGAATTATTTTTTCTAGAAAATGCGTACTTTGCTCCGGGTGGAGGCCCGTAAACAAGGGCAGCGGGGCAGAACCAGGGGCTCAGGAGATGACTATTCGGACTCTATGGAGGGGCCTTGCACTGTGTTACCTCAAGGCTCCGAGAGGGGGTCAGTGTGTATCTGACCCTCGCCCTAGGTCATGCAAATTTTGGAAGAGAATCTTTTTCATTTAGAAAATAGTCATGTTCTTGGGTGATTCAGGTGAAGTTTGTGAGTATTCTTTATGTTTGTGTATGTGTATGCACATGCATACCTACATACATACACATATACATACATTTCGATGCACATATATTTAACACATCTTACATATTAAATATATATTTAAGATTATTAAATTTACTTTTAAGTATACAAATAAATCCCCTAGATGAGTGTCTCCCTCCCTTGGCTGCGTGTTAGAAACACCTGGAGGATTCTTATAAATCAGGATGTCCAGGCTGTATTCCAGGTGTCCGAGTGGACCCCAGGCATCATTATTGTTTTTAAAGCTCCAGGTGAGAATGAGTGCCCTAGACTTTGCATCAGTTGTTAAGACTTACTTCTCAGAGGTCGTGATTTAAGAAGAATTTCATAGGGAGAAGGTTATGCGGATGTAACAGTGGTTCAGATGATCGCCTAAGGCTCCAAACTGTGTAGAATGAATTTCA